AAAAAGATAGTCAAACACATTCAAACGAAGGTATTTAAATCAAATGAAAGTGAAATGCATTCTACAAATCTAATTGAATCAAATGAAAGTCAAACACATTCAAACAAAGCTTTTTGTATAAAATGAAAGTGAAATACATTTAAACTAAACTATTTAAATCAAAATGAAAGTAAAATGCATTTTACATAGCTAATTGAATTAGGTGAAAGTCAAACACAATCAAACAGAGCTATTTGAATCAAATGAAAAGTCAAATACATTCTACAAAGTTAATTAAATCAAATGAAAGTCAAACACATTCAAACAAAGCTTTTTAAATCAAATGAAAGTCTAACACATTCAAACAAATCTTTTTAAATCAAATGAAAGTCTTACACATTCAAACAAAGTTATTTGAATCAATTGAAAGTAGAATGTATTCAACAATGATTATTAAATCAAATGAATTTCAAACACATTCAAACAAGCTTTTTTAATCTAATGAAAGTCAAACACATTCAAACAAAGCTTTTTGAATCAAAAGAAAGTGAAATGCATTTTACCAAGCTAATTGAATCAAATGAAAGTCAAACACATTCATTCAAAGCTATTTGAATCAAATGAAAGTCAAATACATTCTACAAAGCTAATTGAATCAAATGAAAGTCAAACACATTCAAACAAAGCTTTTTGAATAAAATGAAAGTCAAACACATTCAAACGAAGGTATTTAAATCAAATAAAAGTGAAATGCATTCTACAAAGCTAATTGAATCAAATAAAAGTCAAACACATTCAAACAAAGCTTTTTGTATAAAATGAAAGTCAAACACAGTCAAACTAAACTATTTAAATCAAATGAAAGTAAAATGCATTTTACATAGTTAATTGAATCAGGTGAAAGTCAAACACAATCAAACAAAGCTATTTGAATCAAATGAAAAGTCAAATACATTCTACAAATCTAATTGAATCAAATGAAAGTCTAACACATTCAAACAAAGCTATTTGAATAAAATGAAAGTCAAATGTATTCAACAATGTTTATTGAATCAAATGAAAGTCAAACACATTCAAACAAAGCTTTTTGTATCAAATGAAAGTAAAAACATTCAAACTAAACTATTTAATCAAATGAAAGTAAAATGCATTTTAAATAGCTAATTGAATTAGGTGAAAGTCAAACACAATCAAACAAAGATATTTGAATCAAATAAAAGCTTTTTAAATCAAATGGAAGTCAAACACATTCTACAAAGCTAATTGAATCAAATGAAAGTCAAACACATTCAAACAAAGCTATTTGAATCAAGTGAATGTCAAATGTATTTAACAATGCTTATTGAATCAAATGAAAGTTAAACACATTCAAAAAAAGCTTTTTAAATCTAATTAAAGTCAAACACATTCAAACAAAGCTTTTTAAATCAAATGAAAGTCTAACACAATCAAACAAAGCTATTTGAATTAAATGAAATTCAAATGTATTCAACAATGCTTATTGAATCAAATGAAGAAATCAAATGAAAGTAAGTCTAGAGAGAGAAAGTCTAGAGAGAAAAACAAGAAACGCGTGTGTTTGGTTAGGGGTGGTTCCCGCCACCTTTCTTTGAAGGTTTTGCAATGGCGAAGGGACGGGAAAAGGCCAAGAAAGCTTCCAATTCCAAATCCAAGAAGAAGAAAAAGTCCCCTTCTAATGTGAAGAAGTTTACGAAAAAGGATGATGCTAGTGTGGGTTTAGGGCACTTTTCCATTGAAAGCTGGCTGGAAAAGACTTCGGTTTAGGAAGTCCCTAGCAAAGAGGTGTCAGAGGAAGAGAAGGAGATGCATCGTGACCAATTTAACCAATGGCTTCAGGTAATCCATTCTTCTTCACCTCCATTGTTGTCTCAAGAGAAAATAGAGGATGTGATTGCTGGAAATTTGATCAATCCTACTCCTATTATGATGTTATGTAATGATAATCTTGGTAGTAATTCGGCCAATGAAACCAATTGTACCCCTAACCCTAGATGCCCTGTTATTGGGGATTCTGAGAAATCGGGTTTAAATTGGAGAGCACAGTTTGATTCTGTTACTGATGAAGGTATGGATATTAGTTGTGCGAGGGATTTTTCTAAGAAGAATGAAGATATTGGTGGGAGAACTGGATTCTTGAAACTAACAATGGATGATGTGAAACCTGAAATTGATTATTGGAATAGTGCGATTGTTTACTATGTTCTGTGTGGTAAGCCTCATAATGTAGCTTTTTCAGGTTTTATTCGAAGAACTTGGGGAAGATTTGGGGTTGACAAGATTTTCCCTATGAATAATGGTATCTTTGTAGTAAGGTTCAAGGGAAGTGAAGGTAGGGAGAGAGCCTTGAATGTTGGACCTGTATTTTTTGACAAGAAGCCAGTGATTGCTAAAAAATGGGTGCCTGGATTGGATTTGAATGATGAGAAGATTGAGGCTGTACCAGTTTGGGTCAGGCTCCCTGGGCTTGATCTTAGATTTTGGGGGGCAATCTACCTTGATGAAGATAGGAAGCTTAATTGGGAAACCTCTCAAGATGGATAGAGCCACTGCTACGAAGGAGCTTATTGCCTATGCTAGACTACTTATTGAAGTGAAGATTGGGAATAAACTCACTGAGAACATTGAGTTTATGGATGAGAATGGTTGCTTAGTTAGTCAGGCTATTGTGTATGATTGGAAGCCAATAGTCTGCCCTGAATGTGGAGGAATAGGACATGGGGGTGATGTTTTTCCTAAGTTGAGGGCTCCCAGGAGGAGCAATCAACTAGCACAGGGTCAGAGAGTGTGGAGGCTTGTTAGAAAAGACATGAAAAATCAGAATCAGAAAGTTGATGACAACAATAGAGTGGAAAAGAGTGCAGGGCGGTTTTCAATTCTGAATAGTTTGAATGGTAAGGAGGATGGTGAAATTTCTTTTTCTTTTGTGGAATTGGATACTCAGATGAATCCTGCTGGGGAAGGTTGGAAGATTGTTGGTAGTGGGAGGGTCTTGTTTGGTAGTAGGGGGGGTGGAATTCATACCAACCCCTATCATGGATAGTCTGGGTTTTTGGAATATAAAAGGCCTTAACCAAATTGATAGAATTTGTGATGTTTTATGGTTCTTAAAGCATCATAAAATCAGTTTGTTTGGGCTTCTTGAAACGAAGGTTAAGACTATGAAGTTTGGATCTGTTTTTGCTCATTTTGGGGGTGATTGGGCTGTTGGTGCTAATTACTCCAAACATCCTAGTGGCAGAATTTGGATAATTTGGAAACCAGATTTGTTTTGTGTAGATATAGTTGAGGTTGATGCTCAGTTTATACACCTTAAAGTTCTCCACAAGGGTTTAGGGGTTACTTTCTGGTATACAGTAGTCTATGGGTTCAACAGCCCAGATCTGAGAGAGTACTTATGGGACAAAATTAATCATATCAGTAGTTGGGTGGCTGGTCCTTGGATTGTAGGAGGGGATTTCAATAATGTCTTGAACATTGATGATAGAGTTGGGTCTGCAGTTTCTTTTTCTGAAGTTGAGAAGTTTAGGATGTGTGTAAGGAGTAGTAATTTGATTGAACTAAAGTCTGGTGGGATGTTTTATCCCTGGAATAATAAACAGGAGGGCTCTGCTAGAGTCTGTTCTAAGATTGATAGAATCTTTGGTAATGATAGCTGGTGTTCTGCCTTTCAGCAAACTCATGTTGAATTTCTGCCTGAAGGGTTGATGGATCATTATCCTTGTGTTGTGACTTTCTTGGAAAGCACAGCTGGAGATAAAAAGCCTTTTAAAATTTTTAATTACTAGGCTGAGTGTGCATGTTTTTCTAGGGTGATTCATGAGGCCTGGCAGTATCAAGGTCAGGGTTCTGCTATGTTCAGGGTGATCCAGAATCTGAAGAGAGTTAAGGTTAGGCTTAAAGAGCTTAATTCTCAGTTGAGATCACATATTGAAGATGAAGATGCTAGAGCTGCTGAGGCTCTTTTCAAGGCTCAAGGTGACTTGAATAAAGACCCGAGTGATGATATTCTCATTGCTAGGGAAGGGGAGGCCAGAAAGAGATACAGTGAAGTTACAGAGCTACTCTCAAATTTCTTAAACAGAAAGCCAAAGCTCACTGGCTAGAGAAGGGGATATGAATATTCCTTTTTTTCATGCCTGTATTAGAAAAAGAAGAGTACAGAATAGTATTTTTAGCATTCAAAAGGAGGATGGGGTGATAACTAATGATCCTAAGGGGATTGCTGATATTTTCACCAATTTTTATAAAAGCATGCTCGGTTCTCATTTTGATGCTGACAGAGTGCTCCATCATAGTGTCATTGCTGAGGGTCCAGTCTTAAATGATGATCAGGGCAGTCATCTTTGCAGGGTGTTTAATGTTGAGGATGTGAAACATGCTCTCTAGAGTATGGATGATAATAGAGCTCCAGGGCCAGATGGATTCTCTAGTGGCTTCTACAAGGCTGCTTGGAATATAGTTGGGGAAGATCTGTGTAATGCTGTTCTGGATTTCTTTAGGCATGGCAGGTTACTTAAACAAGTGAACAATACTCTTATTACCCTTGTTCCAAAAGTTGATAATGCTACACAAGTAGGCCAATTTAGGCCAATTGCTTGTTGTAATGTCATCTACAAAATTATTGCTAAGATGCTCTGTGTGAGATTGAAAGAAGTCTTGCCTGGTCTGATTGATGAGGTATAAGGGGCATTTGTAGCTAGGAGGTCTATATTGGACAACATCCTTGTTTGTCAAGACATGCTCAAGGATTACAATAATAAAAGGAAGGCTGCTAGGTGCACTGTTAAAGTTGACCTTAGGAAGGCCTATGACTCAGTGCATTGGTCTTTCATAAAGGATATGTTGTCTGCCTTAGGTTTTCCTGATCAGTTTGTTAGCTCGGTTATGCAATGTGTTTGTTCTCCTTCTTTTTCTGTGATGATTAATGGTGGCCTTCATGGGTTTTTTAAGGGTAAGAGAGGGATTAGACAAGGTGATATCTAGTAAAGTATTCCATAACAATGTCACCTCTTTTGTTTGTGATTGTTATGGAATACTTTATTAGATTGATGAGGAAGATTAGCAAGCTCAACAGATTCAAGTTCCACTCTAGATGCAAGGGCCTGAGTCTCAACCACCTTATTTTTGCAGATGATTTGATGTTGTTCAGTTATGGTGATAAGGATTCTATTGAATTGCTGGCTAGGGGGCTTAAGACCTTTGAAAAATGCTCTGGTTTGAAGGCTAATGCTGAGAAGACTTCCATCTATTTTGGTAATGTTCCTGTCACTGCCAGGTCACAGATCATTCACTGTATTGGGTTCACAGTAGGTGAGATGCCTTTTAAGTATCTTGGGCTTCCTTTGAATGCTAAATACTTGAGAATTGTTGATTTTGATAGTATTGTAGATAAAATGCTTAATAGGATCACTTGTTGGTCTAGTAGAAATCTGTCATACTCTGCTAGAGTGACACTTATTAATTCTGTCCTCATGAGTACGCATACTTACTGGGCTCAATGTGCTCTCCTGCCTGTTGGGGTTGTGAATAGAATAACCCAGCTCTGTCGTGCTTTTTTATGGGGAGGCAATGTTGTTCTGTCCAAGACCCCTCCAGTTGCTTGGGATTGGATTTGCAAGCCTAAGGCTGTTGGAGGCTTAGGCATCAGGGATATTGGGTTATGGAACAAAGCAGCTCTGGGTAGATACATTTGGAAAATAGCTCTGAAACAGGACAGCCTGTGGGTCATGTGGGTGCACTCAGTCTACATTAAAGAGGATGATTGGTGGACTTATACCCCTAAGAAATCTGCTGGCTGGGCTTGGAAAAAACTTTGTGCTATTAAGGAGGATTTAAAGGCTGGTTTCAGTCAGAACTGCTGGCAGAACAGTGTCTACAAAATCTCAGAAGTTTACAAATGGTTACAGGGTGATCTACCTACTGTGAATTGGGTGAATTGGGTCTGGAATCCCTATAATCTGCCTAAACACTCCTTTATCACTTGGATGGCTATCCAGAATAGATTGAGAATGAGGAAACAGCTTGCTTCTTTGAATATCTGTCAAGATGCTAGTTGTCTGCTGTGTGGGGAAGCTGAAGAGGATACTGCTCATTTGTTTTTTAGTTGCAGTTACAGCAAGGCTTGTATATGAAAGGTGAGTCACTGGCTTGGTATTCAAGTTCCTTCTCAGCCTATTTGGGATGCTTGGAGATGGTGGAAGAGGTGTATGAAGGATAAGATCAAGAGGAAGGTAGTCCTGGAAGTCCTCACAGCAGTGGTTTACCATATTTGGCTTGCTCGTAACCATGCCTATTGGAAGAAGGCTATTATTCTTCCTAGAGTTCTCTGTAGAGCTATTCAAATTGAAAATGTAGATAGAGTTAGAGGCTGTATAGATACTTCTTGGAAAAGAGAACATTGTAAATGGATTCACCATTTTAGTCTTGGTAAGCTATAGTTAGGTAGTGTGTTTGTGTTCTTGTTGTTTGTGTTTGTTTTGGCCTTTTGGCTCGTGTAGTTTGGGTGAAAGCTTGCCCTCTTTGTTTTGATAATAAAATCTCTTACTTATCAATAAAAGAATCAAATGAAAGTAAAACACATTCAAACAAAGTTTTTTAAATCAAATGAAAGTCAAACACATTCAACCAAAACTTTTTGAATCAAATGAAAGTCAAACACATTCAACGAAGCTATTTCAATCAAATGAAAGTTAAATGCATTCTACAAAGTTAATTGAATCAAATGAAAGTCAAACACATTCAAACAAAATCAACTAAAAGTCTAACACATTCGAACAAAGCTATTTGAATCAAACGAAAGTCAAATGTATTCAACAAAGCTTATTGAATCAAATGAAAGTCAAACACATTCAAACAAAGCTTTTTGTATCAAATGAAAGTCAAACACATTTAAACTAAACTACTTAAATCAAATGAAAGTAAAATGCATTTTACGTAGCAAATTGAATCAAATGAAAGTCAAACACATTCAAACAAAGCTATTTGTGAAAGTCAAATACATTCTACAAAGCTAATTGAATCAAATGAAAATCAAACACATTCAAACAAAGCTTTTTAAATCAAATGAAAGTCTAACACATTTAAACAAAGCTTTTTAAATCAAATGAATGTCTAACACATTCAAACAAAGCTATTTGAATCAAATGAAAGTCAAATGTATTCAACAATGGTTATTGAAGCAAATGAAAGTCAAACACATTCAAACAAAGCTTTTTGAATCAAATGAAAGTCAAACACATTCAAACGAAGCTATATAAATCAAATGAAAGTGAAATACAATCTACAAAGCTAATTGAAGTAAATGAAAGTCAAACACATTCAAAAGAAAACTTTTTCTATCAAATGAAAGTCAAACAAATTCAAACTAAACTATTTAAATCAAATGAAAGTAAAATGCATTTTACATAGCTAATTGAATCAAATGAAGTCAAACACATTCAAACAAAGCTTTTTGAATCAAATGAAAGTGAAATGCATTTTACCAAGCTAATTGAATCAAATGAAAGTCAAACACATTCATTCAAAGCTATTTGAATCAAATGCAAGTAAAATACATTCTACAAAGCTAATTGAATTAAATGAAAATCAAACACATTCAAACAAAGCTTTTTGAATAAAATGAAAGTCAAACACATTCAAACGAAGATATTTAAATCAAATGAAAGTGAAATGCATTCTACAAAGCTAATTGAATCAAATAAAAGTCAAACACATTCAAACAAAGCTTTTTGTATAAAATGAAAGTCAAACACATTCAAACTAAACTATTTTAAATCAAATGAAAGTAAAATGCATTTTACATATTTAGTTGAATCATGTGAAAGTCAAACACAATCAAACAAAGCTATTTGAATCAAATGAAAAGTCAAATACATTCTACAAAGCTAATTGAATCAAATGAAAGTCTAACACATTCAAACAAAGCTATTTGAATAAAATGAAAGTCAAATGTATTCAACAATGTTTATTGAATCAAATGAAAGTCAAACACATTCAAACAAATCTTTTTGTATCAGATGAAAGTAAAAAAAAAAAAACATTCAAACTAAACTATTTAAATCAAATGAAAGTAAAATGCATTTTACGTAGCAAATTGAATCAAATGAAAGTCAAACAAATTCAGACAAAGCTATTTGTGAAAGTCAAATACATTCTACAAAGCTAATTGAATCAAATGAAAGTCAAACACATTCAAACAAAGCTTTTTAAATCAAATAAAAGTCTAACACATTTAAACAAAGTTTTTTAAATCAAATGAATGTCTAACACATTCAAACAAAGCTTTTTGAATGAAATGAAAGTCAAATGTATTCAACAATGCTTATTGAAGCAAATGAAAGTCAAACACATTCAAACAAAGCTTTTTGAATCATATGAAAGTCAAACATATTCAAACGAAGCTATTTAAATCAAATGAAAGTGAAATACATTCTACAAAGCTAATTGAATTAAATGAAAGTCAAACACATTCAAAAGAAAACTTTTTCTATCAAATGAAAGTCAAACAAATTCAAACTAAACTATTTAAATCAAATGAAAGTAAAATGCATTTTACATAGCTAATTGAATCAAATGAAAGTCAAACACATTCAAACAAAGCTTTTTGAGTCAAATGAAAGTGAAATGCATTTTACCAAGCTAATTGAATCAAATGAAAGTCAAACACATTCATTCAAAGCTATTTGAATCAAATGAAAGTAAAATATATTCTACAAAGCTAATTGAATTAAATGAAAATCAAACACATTCAAACAAAGCTTTTTGAATAAAATGAAAGTCAAACACATTCAAACGAAGATATTTAAATCAAATGAAGGTGAAATGCATTCTACAAAGCTAATTGAATCAAATAAAAGTCAAACACATTCAGACAAAGCTTTTTGTATACAATGAAAGTCAAACACATTCAAACTAAACTATTTTAAATCAAATGAAAGTAAAATGCATTTTACATAGTTAATTGAATCATGTGAAAGTCAAACACAATCAAACAAAGCTATTTGAATCAAATGAAAAGTCAAATACATTCTACAAAGCTAATTAAATCAAATGAAAGTCTAACACATTCAAACAAAGCTATTTGAATAAAATGAAAGTCAAATGTATTCAACAATGTTTATTGAATAAAATGAAAGTCAAACACATTCAAACAAAGCTTTTTGTATCAAATGAAAGTAAAAAAAAAACATTCAAACTAAACTATTTAAATCAAATGAAAGTAAAATGCATTTTAAATAGCTAATTGAATCAGGTGAAAATCAAACACAATCAAACAAAGATATTTGAATCAAATGAAAGTTAAACACATTCAAATAAAGCTTTTTAAATCAAATGGAAGTTAAACACATTCAAACGAAGCTCTTTAAATCAAATAAAAGTGAAATGCATTCTACAAAGCTAATTGAATCAAATGAAAGTCAAACACATTCAAAACAAAGCATTTTGTATCAAATGAAAGTTAAACACATTCAAAAACTATTTAAATCAAATGAAAGTAAATCGCATTTTACATAGCTAATTGAATCAAAAGAAAGTCAAACGTATTCAAACATAGCTATTTGAATCGAATGAAAGTCAAATACATTCTACAAAGCTAATTGAATCAAATGAAACTCAAACACGTTCAAACAAAGCTATTTGAATCAAATGAATGTCAAATGTATTCAACAATTCTTATTGAATCAAATGAAAGTCAAACACATTCAAAAAAAGCATTTTAAATCTAATTAAAGTCAAACACATTCAAACAAAGATTTTTAAATCAAATGAAAGTCTAACACATTCAAACAAAGCTATTTGAATTAAATGAAAGTCAAATGTATTTAACAATGCTTATTGAATCAAATGAAAGTCAAACACATTCAAAAAAAGCTTTTTGAATCAAATGAAAGTCAAACACATTTAAACAAAGCTTTTTGAATCAAATGAAAGTCAAACACATTCAACGAAGCTATTTTAATGAAATGAAAGTTAAATGCATTCTACAAATTTAATTGAATCAAACGAAAGTCAAACACATTCAAACAAAGCTATTTGAATCAAATGAAAGTCTAACACATTCAAAACAAAGCTTTTTAAATCAACAGAAAGTCTAACACATTCGAACAAAGCTATTTGAATCAAACGAAATCAAATGTATTCAACAATGCTTATTAAATCAAATGAAAGTCAAACACATTCAAACAAAGCTTTTTGTATCAAATGAAAGTCAAACACATTTAAACTAAACTATTTAAATCAAATGAAAGTAAAATGCATTTTACGTAGCTAATTGAATCAAATGAAAGTCTAACACATTCAAACAAAGCTATTTGAATCAAATGAAAGTCAAATACTGATGCGTTTCTTGATTCGTTTGGTCTTAGGTTTAAACAAGCTTCACTCGTTTGTTTTCGCCTAAGGGTTCTAAATCTGATTTCAAGGCTTCACCCACCTTAATCTCGTGATTTAGGGGTTTTTTTGAGGATAATTTGAATTAGCTTCACTCACTAATTAATCTAACCTCTCTTAAATCAGGTTTCACTCGCCTAATCTAAGGGTTTTTATGTTTAACTTCACTCGTCAAACACAAAGAAAACTTGGAAAGAAACGTTCCAAATTAACAAGCAATAAAGCTTTAATCAACAAAAGAAAACTTGTATAATTCGAAGTTTACAACCTTTATTTATAGACTCAAAACTAATCCTAAACCTAATCAAATTAGAAAACTAATCCTAATTGAATTAGAATCCCATTTGACCTAGAAAACCTAAGAAAACCGAAACTTGATCCCCAAGTTCCTAATTCGGATATGACTAAACTAACTAAGCTTAATTCAACTTAGATTAGGTTATTCAATCCTCCTAAAACTCCTAGACACGCCTAAAAACCAAAGTCAAGTCCTAATCCACTTAGGAATTTACTTTGCTAAAAACAAGTCCTAATTCAAATAGGAACTCTCTTTTGCTAAAGACAAGTCCTAATTCAAATAGGAACTCACTAGACCAAAACAATTCCTAATCAAAATAAAAATCCTAACGCTTAAAACAAGAAAAACCCTTTCAAGTGAAAGGTAAAAACTTGTAAGCCAAAATCTAATCTAAGAAACATTAAAGAAACGGACCAAGAAAGGAAACCTTGAATGCTCCCGCAT